TAAAAGAATGTTATTTTGAAACAGTATAGGACATTCCGGTGAAGCAGATAGTAACTTATTTAGGAATTAAAATATGTAAAGATCAGACAGAAAGAAGTACATTCATTTTACTCCCAATATGGAAGAAAATAAAAAAAAAACATGCTTGGTTAATGGCCTAGCATTAACAGGACATGTGCTTCTCTCAAAAGCAGACGGAATATCTTGATTACTACAGAGTGCATTGCATTAGAGATACTCTCATTTGTAAAAAATAACCTTGATAAGCTCCTATATAATTTTATCTGGAAAAATAAACATTGTTATTTGATATAATAAATATATTATTTAAAACCAATTCCTAATAATAAACAGGATTAAGGAGACCTACATTTTTTTATTGTAAAACATCACATACAATTTCTAAACTCAATTGGAAACTTAATTGCTGATAAAAAAAACTAAAAATACAGACAGTGTTTGGAATGAAATCCCCAAATTTGTATTTCAGAATGTGGGTAGACTTGGGTTAAAGTGCAATTTTGAGGCTAACAAGATCCCTATTAAGTTATCAAATTATCATAAACAAGTACTTTTATCTTGGACATCGGCTTATGAGCACAATTTCTCCCCAAACACATTTAGCATTTGGAATAAAAAGGATATATGTTTTAAAAATAAATCTTTTTTCAAAGATGATATGACAATTGTATTATATTGGTGGGACAATTACTAAATGAGAATTTTTCATGTCGTCATCTCCGTTACGTTCCACATCTCTCCCCTAGAGGGCGCTCCTACCCTTTCCCGTTATGATTAGGTTCTATTATTTTTCTGGTGTGTCTCGCAAGCACGCAAGTCCATGTCCTTGACCTTCTGAGTCCGGGGCTCAGAGTGCCTGGTCCCATTATGCTTTTAGGTCTCTATGTTCCCAGTCTTGGTTCCCCTTCCCAGGGATTTTAAGTGTCTTCAACTTGGATGGATCTCCCGGTCCTTGGATTACGGACGGCGCCCTGATAACCCCTTTTTGGACCTGTCTGGGCTTGGTCTCCTCCGCCCTGTCTGTAAACCCGTCCTAACCCTGCTGTATCTTTCCTTGATGTCCTTCTCCAGACCCTTCTGGATTATACCGTCCTGCATAGGGACTCCATGGGAGTCTGACCCGGGCCCCTTGACATTGTCATGTCATTTACCAAACCGCTTTATTCCACAGGGTGGTGTGGGAAGCCGGAGCCTTACCCTCTAAGCAACGAGCGCAAGGCAGGGTACACCCTGGATGGGACGCCAGCCCATCACAGGGCAAGAGCAAGCCAATCATACATGGGGACAATTTGGAGGCCACGGTAAAAGGAGGGGGGGGGGAATTTGGCCCGGACACCAGGATAGCTCCCTACTCTTACTACTCTACCCTATCCCAACAGCTACATCACCCTGCAACTCACAACTGGCGACCCAGCAGGTGTGAGCCTGGTCAGTACCTGGATGGAAGACCTCCTGGGAAAGGTTGCTGCTGGAAGAGGTTTTAGTGGGGCCAGCAGGGGGCGCTCACACTACGGTCTGTGTGGGTCCTAATGCCCCAGTTTAGTGACGTGGACACTATACTGTAAACAGGCGCTGTCCTTCGGATGAGACGTAAAACCGAGATCCTGAGGTCTGTGGTCGTTAAAAATCCCAGGGCATTTCTTGAAAAGAGTAGGGGTCTAACCCCGGTGTCCTGGCCAAATTTTCCATTGGCCCTTACCAGTCATGGCCTCCTAATAATCCCCATCTATGAATTGGCTTCATTACTCTGCTCTTCTCCCCACTGATAGCTGATGTGTGGTGAGTGTACTGGTGCAATATGGCTTATATATCCAGGTGGGGCTGCACATTGGTCGTGGTAGAGGGGAGTCTCCATTATCTGTAAAGGGCTTTGAGTGGTGTGTCCAGAAAAGTGGTTTATAAGTGTAAGCAATTATTATTATTACTTTTATGGATAAATGACCAGGGGATCTTTACAATTTCAGTTATGCCATAAGAATTTACAATAGTATTTGATGCTAGCCTTAGGGGGATCATTACTCTCTTTAGGGGCTACTGCAGAACCTATAATTACTAAACCAATAAATTAACACCTAGCGTTTTGTTGGGTAGTGTTAACATTTTAGAAAAGAAATGTAACAATAATTATATAAGGAACATATGTTTACCAATTACATTCCACCTGCAAAGACTAATTGGATCTCAAATTATAATATAAAATAGCAGAAAGTATGTATTGTCTTACCAATGAAATTAAAGAAGTGTCATCTAAAATTATTCTTAGAATTTATCCTGTTGAACAAATATTATCCAATATTTAAACTCAAATTAGATTATCAATATTTATTTTTTAACATGAATAAAGAAACAAAGAAAATCTTACACTCTGCTTTATTTTACCCTCACACATATGGATCAAAATTGTATATTAATAAGAAAGTTAATGCTGATTATGGGGGGATACAATATCCATAAAATGCAATGAACAAAGTCTTTTCCAAATTTTAATCTGTTTAAAATAGAAATGGAATTTTACATTAAAACCATTCAGAACATTTAAAATAAGTAAGCTAACCAAAGTTATGTGAAATTAGTTTTTGAAAGTAATTGATTATCCCTGTCAATTCGTATCATGTATGCATGCTTTATTTCATTTAATGTTTCTTATTGTTGTATGTTTTTTGTTACTCGTTATAAATAAAGCATTTAAAAAGCATAGGGTACTTTGCCTAGATAGCATGATTGCTATCTAGTTCTCTGAGTGCTGGTTACAAAACATGTCAGTGTGATAGTTTTCTGTAGATCACTTCTGCTCTTTCATGTTAAAAATGTGTCTGTCTGTCATCAATTTACACTGAGCCCTCATTATCATTTCAGTTTTGATTGTGACATAGAGCAATTGTCACTAACATTTTATCAAAGCCTTTATTTAATTTTAAATATCTGAGTCCAATCCACCATACTATCTTCTTTATTCAAGACTTGTGGTCTCCCTTCTTTAAACGTTTTCCAGGGAGCAGGCATTTTCATATAATATGATGACCAAAAATGTAATATTAGTTTTGGTTGAGTGGGAGATTAGTCATTAGCTTCACTGATACCCTTGGATATATTGTAAACCAGAATTTATGAGAATGTATGAGTTTTAGTGGGGTGCAATCACACATTATTTGTAATAATACACCTATTGAAATCCAATATCAACATACACTGTCCTTGACAATATGCGACAACAATATTTCAGAAAGGGGCATCTGAAAGGAAGCTGATGGAGGAGTTTTTTCATACACATTATGCATTTCTATAGATCTCAAAGTCATCATGTCAACAATGTGCCTGTGTTTTCTAAACGCCGAGCGAGACTATACATTTCATTGGTCCAGGATTGAGTGGTGAATGGAGAGGCCTTTTCAAAGAAAAACAAAAAGGAGAAAAAAACTAGAAACAATTTAATTGCGCGAGGTGATAAGCCAGTAGATTGCTATTGTAATTCACAGCATACTTGCTGAGTGTCCTTGAATCTGTGTTCCCCAGAGGACGCGTCCTTCCTCTCGTGCTTTCTGTAAGGCCACGGTGTTGGCACAGTGTTCTTACACTGACAACAGGCAGGAGATACAAGAATCGAAAACAAAAAACTAGTTTGTTTCCATAGTGCACAGCCAGGCTCCTTGCATTTTAAGTCCTGTGAATGTCTTCATTATATAAATGAGATGGAGGATTAAACTAAGTTTAGATATTGGTCTGAAGCACATACTGTATTACTGGGTTTCAGGAGTTTTATACAAATCCTTCTAAGTGTTGTTAGTCACTGTGATATTTACAGTTCTCCATTCAAGTTCTATCTATTTTGTGTATTATTCACAAAATTGAAGGTTTTTATAAAAATACTTCGCATTCAAATGAGGGCATGAATTTGCTATGACCAGAAATATGTGCAGAAAGTGCACATTCCACAAACAGAGAATAAACTAGAGGACAAACCTATAGAATTTGCTTGCTATAGATCTGACACCCAGGCCAAAACATTTGTCCTAATAGCTTGTTCATTTTTACTGCATGAGTTACTGTATAAGGGTGCTGTGGTTTATTTTGGATGGGAGGACATCATGTCGGCTTCTTCTGTATCCACCCTTTCCAGAGATTGTGCTGATTTTGGAACCATCTTTAAAAGGTGCAGTACAAATGAGATTTAGGAAATGTGAGGCAGAGAGAAATAAGCAGGAGGATTGCGTGGTGTCTTTCAGAACCAGTTCAAACGGAAACAAAGTTAAAACAATCATCTATTTTTTTTTACTTAAACCTCCTTCTGGATGGAGAACGATTAGACATGTTAGTAATGTTCTGTTACTAATGTTAGTAATGTTTTTCTCCATGAAATCCATGAAAGACAGGCAGAGTACCGATGCGTATACCCGACTGTTATACAAGATGATTATGAAGGGAAATGTTTCATTCGGAGTGAGAAATTGCATGATCACTTATAGAACCCCATTTGTAGCTGTAAAATATAAATTATTTTTCAGCATTAAAAGACAGCTTTACTTCCATTTTTATTATTGTATTTTGGAGCAGGACATATAATTTAATTGTCCGAAAGCAGGTTAAGCAAATTTAGGAAGAAATGTTAATGCCCTCACTTTTTATCAAGGCATTTTGTATGTTTTTAAAATGATCGTATCGCTACTCTAATAGGTTTAAATTGGGTATAAGATCGCACCAATTAAGAAAAAATGATAACGATGCCAATTTGCTGCGTACAAAAGGATTAGTGAATCTGGACCCTAATTTGCCTATAAATTGCTAATAGTGTAAGCATTTATTAAGTGAGCACAAGTACGAAAAACTACCGACATTTTCTTCAAAAAATAAGAATCCAAAATTTCGCAAGAACGTTAGGAAATAAAAGGTTAAAAATCAACCTTTCACCGGTACAAGTAAAACTAATGTACAGTACATTTTGACTCACGGCACAAACGCTGTCTGTCGCACAACAAACGCATTTTGCGTCAGTGGGATAATTTGATTTACGGCAGCGTGGTACTTTTTAAAATTTCTTGGAGCATCGATGATTCAGTTCGCCGGTGGGATTTAAAACTTGTTTATTTAGAAGAACGTTGACTTATTCGTTGTTTTTTAAGTATTCACCATGGATGTAGGTGAACTTTTGAGTTATCAGGTAAATATATAATATATAACTTGTTTACGCGTGTTCGGAAATGAACTTACAGCGCTAGGCCGTGGTTTGTATCTGAGTAGAACCGTTTCTTGAGTGTAAATAAATACATTGTGGAAGAACAATTTGTGTGTATTTACGTATTTTGAGAAAAGTTCAATTTCCAGTGTGTTTAGGAAAAAAGTGCAGCGTCTTTGTTTTTAGATTAAGGTATTGTGATTGCTATATGTGGTGCTTAAACTAGTTCTGTTTTGTTTGCGTTTAAGTGCTTTGCTCCAGACACTGTCTAGCATATTTTCTCAATTAACTGTTTTTTTTCCGTCTCTCTTCTCTTGAGCAAAGGAAAATATGTTGATGTGGCTGAACGGTAGCACAGAGAGAGTGTTACCTGATTTCTCTTTTACTGACACTGGGTGTACGTGGTCTTGACTCCGTCCCCGGTAGTTACTTCTGGTAGTATACATACATTATAAGAATTGTCAGAGATGATCAATTATAATCAGTCGAAGTCTTTGAAATCTCATTTCAGTTATTGAGGAGCCTTCAGGAGTGAGGGAGAGTAAAAGTGTAAGGATATAAAGTAAAGAAGAGTTGCTTTGTGCTTCAATGGTATGATTTGTCCACAACCATCGAACACCCAAGACCAAATAAAACAGGGTCTTCAGGACATAAATTGGACATACCAATTACTTTGACAATTAAGACAGATTTAAAATAATTATTATTAATAATAACGTGGTAAGAGAATATTTCAAAGATAAACAAAATCACTGAAGCATCCCCAACATGAATGACGTATCTGTTAAATGTGATTAATAACAGCTTGGAGATTATAAATAAAGAAATATTGTAAAATGCCATCTGCCTTGAAAAAAAGGAACCTGAATGGCCAACTTGAAAGGATGAGTTCATCCAAGCAAAAACAAAACCCAAACGCTTTTTTGGTCTGTTGTTAGTAGTAAAAGAAATGTTTAACATAACATCACTTTATTAGTCCTATACAATTTCTTGCATTAGGAATTTGTCTTTTCACATACCCCAGCTTGCTCTCCATGAGATACAGACACAGACAGGGAGAGAGAAGCTTGGGGTCAGAGCCCCTGCAGTAATTTGGGTTAAGGGCCTTGCTCAGGGGGCCCAACAGAGTAAGTAGGATTCCTCTGCCGGTTGTGGGATTTGAACCGGCAACCTTCCAGCTACAGGCGCAGATCCTAAGCCGCAGAGCCAAGGTCTGTCCGTCTAATGAAGGTTTTGCAGTTATGATCATTATCACAAAACACAATATACACATTCATAACTTTATAATATAAATTGGAAGTATTAGAAATTGAAGTATTGATAAAAAATCATAATGGAATGAATCCAGATCGTGTAAACCCAAGGGTTCTTAGAAATCAATGATATCATTCACAAAGATGATCAGGAGATAATAAGAAGCGCTGTGTAAAATCAGATGAAGGCAGATGTCTCATCAGATAATAAAATAAAGAATTAAATTCATTATTAGTCAGCATAGAGTGTTGTGTATACGTAAGAAGAGTATATGACTTCATTCTACCATGAGAGGTGCAGAATTAGAAAAACACCTCATAAATTTGTAAAATTATTGTGTCTAATCTTTTCACATAAGCTCTTAACAAAAGGCAAACAGAATGCTTGGCTACCTAGCAAGTCAAAAGCAGTTATGTAGAAACTCTGCAATGCATTAGTGAGGTCCCCATTGTTTTACTGCATACAGTCCTGTTCACCACTTTAGGAAGGAGATCAGGAAGCATTAGAGAAGGTCTAATAAAGAGCCGAAAGACCCATTATAGTGCATAGATGTGTTATGAGGATAAGCTGAATTCCAATAGTTATTTTAAGATTTATGTTGGAGACATATTTGGCTTGTAACCTATTTCCAGTTCTGCACCAAAAAGAAAATAAGCTTGTTTTGCATATCAGTGCAGGAATCGGTGCATTACAGGAACACATAATGGTGGCAGAGAGTCTGGAACTTTCGATAAATGTGAAGTAGTAGATCACATTAATAGATATTGAACATATTTGTAAAATGTGTGTAATGAAGAATAAATGAGAAAACAACCCCTCCCAGTGTCAGACAGACCAAATTTGATGGCAGCCACCTTAGCTGTATTTTAACAGTTTCATGGGTAGTGTGAAGAGTTGCTTTACAATTAGGATTTTAAATATAGGGTCTTCATGATGCATTTTAAATTGCCCATTTTTTTAAAAACGTGAGTCAATTTCTGAAAGAGAAGAAGGAGGAGACTTGATCACCTGAGGATGAGGGTTACAAAAGTGATCATGACAAAATCGTGGGTTTCAGATAAAAGCTAGCCAGGCGACTTTACCCCAGAGGAACCCCCGAGAGTCCCAGATGGACAGCAGCTTTTCATGTGTCATGTCATGTCATTTGGGACATGTTTTCCTTTCATGCAAGAGACTGGAGGTGTTCACACAGTTACATCACCAGTGGCTGATGGCTGCTGTTCCTCCTGTAACTCCACTCCTATATATTACTTGTTACAGCAGTGGCACTGTCAGTGTAAACAGCAGCATGTCTCCCTTTCAGTGATTCAGCTTTCACAACATCATCCAGCAATTTCAGCATTTCCTCAGCAGTCTGTTCTGGTAACATCTGACAGTCTTGGAGGATTTTCTTTTTTACCCCCCAGTCAAATATAAGCTAGTCATTTCACTGCATCACCACCATCCGTTGCCTCATCAGACTGAAGTATAAACTGTTCACGTTTGTCTTTTAGTGAGCTGGCATTCTGCATCATTTGACAGCTCCTCAGACAGTTTGCTTACCTACTGTCGTTAGAAAGTGCTATAGCCTCAGTTTACTTTGCTTACCACTACTTCACACATTTTCACAGCAGCTGGAAGAGTATTTTTCTCCAATGGTGTGGGATTTTTTTTTTAACTTTTAGCAGCCCAGAGAACTTGCTTTCATAGATGCTTTCAGAGCGTTTTCTGGAATTGTGGTCTTTGTTTTTTCTCGTTGACTACGTTCTGGATTGATGTCCTGTGCATGGGAAGACTCTATGCTCTGTGCTTATGCATTAGTTTGGGGATGTTTTAAAAACCTGTTCGTTTTGTATGCCATTGACTCACTTTCTGTAAAAAAATTCTTCAGTATTCCCCTGCCAAAATCCGAGTTCAGTGCTCGTTTCGTGCCACAAAGCAGTAAGATTTTATTATGTTGATGGTTGGGGACTACGGACCATCTACACCACCATGTAAACAGAAATAGCAGCTTAGTCACTTTTGTTAGGCCACTCTGACAAGGTGGGATTCTTTATACTTTGTCTTTATTTTGTAGACCCCACTTGAAGCCTTGTAGCCTCAAGGATGTTTGGCATCCACGGACTATGGTTTGAGATACACTGGTCTAGAGACAAATACTTGAAATTAAAAGTAATCGAAATAGAAGGTAAGATGAAGAGAGTTACAGTCATCTTAGCATGTGCTGAAAAATATTAGTAAGATATGATATTCTGAATACTTGATAAAGTGACACCAAACATGAATCTCATTGCTAAAGCCGAGGAATGAGTGGAAATTAGATTAGATTCAGAATATATAGTATGAATCTATTTACAAAGAGCTGTGGCTGCTGGAATTTGCTGTTGTATTGTGTGCATGTTGCCTCATTAGAATTTGTCAATAAAATACTTGATAAGGCTTTGGGATCATTTGGGCTATAGATAGACTGAACAAAAAGAAAGATTAGGTTTTCTGTGTAATCTCTATATGCGTTCACCAAAGTATTTTAACTGATTGTTGCACAATAGTGGTTTTCTTTCTGTAGACTTTCTTTTCAGGTTCCTAATTGCTAATGGACTGTTTTATCAAGTTAGCATTGATAGTTCTAAACTATACTTGTTTAAGGCCTTAAAATAAAAGATCTTGGAAGCTTATGAACAGGGGTCGAAGGATCGATTAGCTATAGATCGGAATCGGCAGATTTCCATTCTAAATATGTGACCGGCGTGTGCCTTGGAATGAAAACATATCATCCGTCTGGCAGTTTTCATTCCAGGTCAAGCCAATATGTTTGTAAAACTAACCTTTCTCGTGGCAGGGGCAACACAAAGAATTTTAATACAACTAACCTGACACAACACTTGAGAGCACATCACCTGCCCAAGTACAGTGAGTATCAGAAACTAGCATAGCTAGCAAAAACGGATAAAGCTACACCGACGTTAAGACAACCGTCAGTGCAGGCGACACTTGAGAGATAACAGCAAAAGTATAACAGCAATGGCCCGAAAGCAAAAGGAATCACGACCAAAATAATGGAATTTATTGCGCTAGATAACCAGCCATTTTCGGTTATTGAAGATGTAGGATTCTACTGCTTGATATCTCACCTAGAGCCATACTATCTAGGTTGGAAATACTTTTCAGATTATGGCCTTTTGCCTTAATTGGATAAAAGAACTGTTAGACTGCAGCTTGTTACTTCATGTGGGTGGTTGTAACAATCATTGTCTTACTTGTTAGTAAAACAATGTAAGTTTCTACCATCTTTTGTGTCTTTGGCTGGATAGTAACACACCAACCACCTGACAGAAAGTGACGATCGGTATGGGCCTCACAAAACGCTCATCGGTCCATCTCTACTTATGAAAAACGTGGGGGACATAAGGGAAGGGGACAGCTACTGTACAATGGCATTTTCTATAATAAAGTCCTCAAACACAAAGAGTCAATAAAGTGACATTTCTTAAATATGCAAATTAAGTATGAACTAAGAATGGCTGCAGTGTCTATAGATGTGCAGTATTTACTTTTTTTCATCTGTTTTAAATTTGTATTCTTCACTGGAACATATTGTTCTAAAAGTCCATTTTCTTTCAAATGTAACCATGTTATTAATGGTTCCTAAATAATGTCGGCAGTCATGAGTGTGCTATCTTGGGCCTCCAGGCTTTGTCTGAGCTGCAATACCATTTGGAAATGAAACCTTGATTGCACTGTTTGCAGACATATTAAAATGAAAATTGAATGTAAAATTGCTTTCTAATGAGTTGGCTGCTTGCTTCCTAACTTTGTGACTTAAGCTTGCTTCCTATTTTGCTTGTGCTTTCTCTTTTTGTGATAAGAGTTTGGCATTTGCTTAGTGTTGTGCAAGGCATTCATTGGGCATCGTTGCTTTCTGAGAGACAACAGTGCGATGGTCGGCAGCACAGCGTGCCCTTCTCAACTGTCTTTGTGCTGATTTCCTCTGTATTTCCAGCTGCATGCAATGTAGAAAAGTGCTTGAAATTCAACACTCCGTGTGTGAGAGGGCTTTAAAATTTGGATTTACAAAGTAATCTTTGTGCCAAATCAAACAGTAAATGGTTACCAAATCACTGAATTTACTGCCAGAATTTCCAATTATCCTGTGGAGGTCGTGCATAATCTCTGGTAGTTAAACCTAAGATGCAGAAAAAAAGCTAAAGTCAGGCTTTTTTTGGACATGTGAAGTAGTTATTGCATTTAATCCATCCATTCATGTTTCAACTGTTATTTCCAGTTCAGGGTCATGAGGGAGCAGGAGCCTATCCTGACAAGCAGTGGGTGTAACCCAGGGCACACCCTGGAAGGGGCACCAGTCACACACTCACACCAGGGCCAGTTTTCCCAGAAGGCAATTTACTTACCTGCATGTCTATAGACTGTGGGAGGAAACCAGAGCTCCCAGAGAAAACCCACACAAGCACTGGGAGAACATACAGACTCCACACAGATATCCATGCAGATTCCACCCCAGCTCCAGAATTGCCCCAGAGGCATCAAATGCTTACCACTGCAGAGTGCCACCTTATGGCATTTCTTCTTTTCTTCTTCTTCGAATTTTCCCACTTATGTGAGGTCTGCTTGTTTGCACCGATTTTTCCACTTGGTACAGTCTGCATCCTCTCAGCAGGTGACTTTTGCGAGGCGCATGTCGTCTTTCAGCCGATCCAGCCAGCGCGTAAATGGTCGTCCACGGGGCTGGTGGCCTTCCACCTTCAATTCGAGGACGGTCTTTGCCATTGATGTGTCATTGCTGCGGAGCACGTGTCCATACCATCGCAGGCGCGATTCCCTCATTTTCTCAGTGATTGGGGCGACTTTGAGTGTTTTTCGCACCTCTTCATTCATGACATGGTCTAGTCTTGTCAAGTCGAGGGTCCATCGCTTGACAAAACCTGCCTGTTCATGTTTCTTTGTCGTTGGCCAGCATTCAGTTCCATATAGGGCCACTGGTCCGACCACTGGGCGGTAGACTTTGGATTTTAGGTGCAAAGGGATCTTCTTGTCGCACAGTACTCCAGTGACCTACCACCATTTCATCCAAGCGGCGCTGACTCGCGTCTTGGCGTCTTGGAGGGTAGTGCAGTCGGAGTTGACACATGACCCCATGTACTTGAACTGGGTCGTTCAGTTGGACCCCACCAGCTTTTATTGTGCCTTCGGTTTGATCACCCCATTCCAGGTACTCTGTCTTCTTGATGTTCAGTTTCATTTTAATGTAGTTATAATTTCAATTTACATTCGCATTGTTATTAACTTGAAGCAAAACTAGCTGGTGAAGCACATTTTCATGATAAGCTACAGAATAATTCTAGTATATTAAATAGTAACTACTAAAGTGCCTTGCAAAATTATTCACCCCCTGCAGTTTCTTTTGTTGCTGTTTGAACGTGCAATCTTACCAATTTCAAATAGGACTTTATATTTACACCAAACAAATCTACTCCAAACACATTGTCAAATACTGGCAACTAGTATGCAAATAGTTTTTTAAAGAAACTTAACTATTCTCATTTGCTTAAGCGTTCAATCACTTTTCTACACTATAAATCAGTTTAAGTGCAAAAGAATAGTTTAAACAGTCACAATGCTAGTGTAATCAAATGTGTCATCAAAGTGATTCTACTTTAGAGTAAATGCACCTGTCTCATTCTGTTTCCCCAGATAGATATTGAATTTCAAGCCACAACCCATATACAAATATGGCAAATCAACATTGAACACCAAGGAGATTTTAAAACAAGTCAGGGATTAAGTATTAGAGAGGCTCAGATCAGCAGAAGGTTACATGTCCCTTTGAATATAGTAAAGTCCATTGACAACTTAGAAAAGGCCACCCATTCACAGCTGGAAGCAGCTGGGTAAGCAGGAGACAGGTTAGAGATGCCACTGTGAACCCAACAGTAACTTTGAAAGATTAGCAATGTTATATGTCACAGATCAAAATCACTGTTGATTCAACAATATCCTGGTCCCTACAGATCAGATTTGTTGCCAGCAATCATATCACCCTACAACTCACAACTGGCATCCCACTGAAGTCAGCCTGGTTAGTACCTGGATGGGAGATCTCCTGGGAAAGCTAAAACTGATGCTGGAAGAGGTGTTAGTGGGACCAGTAGGGGGTGCTCACCCTGTGGTCTGTATGGGTACTAATGCCCCAGTAGAGTGACGGGGACACTATACTGTAAAAAGGCGCTGTCCTTCAGATGAGACGTAAAACCGAGGTCCTGACTCTGTGGTCATTAAAAATCCCAGGGCATTTCTTAAAAAGAGTAGGTGTGTTACCCTGGCATCCTGGAGAAATTTCCCATTGGCCTTTACCAATCATGGCCTCTTAATAATCCCCATCTATGCAATGGCTTTATCACTCTGTTTTCCTTCCCACTGAGACCTGGTGTGTGGTGAGTGTTCTGGCACACTATGGCTGCCTTCACATCATCCAGGTGGGGCTGCAGATTGGTGATGGTGGAGGGGAGTCCCCATTACCTGTACAGCGCTTTGAGTGGCGTGTCTAGAAAAGTGCTATATAAGTGTAAGGCGTTAATTATTATTACAGAAAGCTGGCCTATATGGGTGAGAGGTAAAAAAGACATTTTACTGAAAAGAGCTAGTCTTAAATGTCATGTGAGATATACTACTGCAAACAAACTCAACATAGCACATAAGCCAGTCAGCTCTATTCCAGCTTTCAAGCATTGTGTTTGGAGCAGTTTCTAATTAGCAGGGACTAATGAGAAGCTTCCTGGGCTGAAGAAAAAATTGATGAATCAAAGTACAGGTGAATTCTAGATGAAAACCTGCTTCAGTTATCCAAGAACCTGAAACCTGGTCAAAAATTCACATTTCAGTGGACAGTGACCGGAATCACAAATCCACAGTGAAGTGGTTTGATAAGAAGAGAGTGAATGTCTTGGAGTAGCCCAGTTGAAAAACCAATTCTAATACAAATTCCTGACTTGAACCTGACTGTAATTTTACAGTAAGTCTTGACAACTATCCCCAATGAGCTTATCAGAACAAGAGCAATTTTGCCAGGGAGAATGGAAAAAATGACACCGTCCCACTGTGCAAAGCTGGTAGAGACTTGTCCAAAAACACTGACAGCAGTAATTGCTGTCAGCGGTGTTTCTACCAAGCAGTGACCTATAGGACTGCATGCATATGTCGTTGGTAAATGTCACTTTGTTCTTTGTATGTTTTGCCAACAGTCAGCCTCCTTCACACATAATAGTTCAGTTCCTCAGACTGAATCTTGGTAACAAATTAATTGGTGTCGCAAAATTTGATAAATTCTGATTTAAGCACAAAATTGTGAACTTTGTGAAAGTACTGGACAGTCTCACCACAAATTGTGATGTGATGCGGCCTTTCCTGCTTGCTAGACACTGTAATAACTAATGTAATGAGATGCAGAGCGAATCAAGTACAGGTTGTGCACCAGATATTTACCACAGAAAGTTTCCAATGTGATCTGTGTGCAGAGTTAGTAGTATTTGTTGGCAAAACAAAGTCAAAGTCAATGTTTCTGTTTAGTTAGTTAGTTGCTTACACTTATATAGCGCTTTTCTAGACACTCCACTCAAAGCGCTTTACAGGTAATGGGGACTCCTCTCCACCACCACCAATGTGCAGCCCCACCTGGATGTAATAAGGTTAGTTCACCTCACCGACAGTTTTGTTGCCTTATTCCGAATTGCAGAAGATGGCGCTGTTCATATCTAAAAAACTTTGTCTATTTGTGATGTGAATTGGAGGTTTACAGGTTACTTTTGTTGTGGTTTAAAATGCAACTCACCAAGTTCGTTTGAAAAAAAATGCGTGGCTTGTAATTGATCAAATTGTGATTTTGGTGGGGGGGGTGAGTGTTTGAGCAGTAAAATATCTGTGCAGTTTTGTAATGCTGTATAGAACCCACACTGAAGAGTAAGCTACTTTGTGAGAGTGCAGATCCCCCTGTTCATCTCGCGGGGTGGTAACGAGCTCTGGCTCTGGTTCCCTAGCCGGACAAGGGCGCCAAGCGGCTGCGAGACGATGACCCAGAGGAGGAGCACAGGGGGCGCCAGAGGCTGCAGGTGGGCAGAGATGCCGGACGATTCCCAGAGGCAGATGACCCGAAAAGCGAGGACCTGGTTCACGACAAGAAGAAGCTCCAGGAGCTCATGGAGAATGAAGATCAGGAGGATCAGGAGGTGGGTAATAGAAATAAGTTCTGTGATGAAATACCGGAGAAGCACAGCTCGGGGCTCAGGATACGTTAACGGATGATGTTGTCAAATTTCGTTACCTTGTAGCATTGTGAGGATGGATGTGAAACGTCGCTGTTTTTTGGAGAGCGGCAATTCGTTTTTGATAAGGTGTCATTTTGTCTAATTCCTTATGAATTAAAGGAGTTTTGCTGTCATCATTAATATCATATTTGTGATTTTACAAGTGTTAACGAGAGTACAGATTGTGGTTGGAGAGGAGGGGCTGTTTTTGTTCTTTTTCTGAAAAACAAATACTAATAACATTATTTTGCTCACAAAAGAATACACCAGGCAGCTCAGAGACCTAACCACTGATTTCACATTATCACAGCTGGTTTAGCTTTGATTTGAGATTCTTGGTAAGCGTTATACTTAATGGTTTTTTTTCAGTTTTTTGCGGAGCAGTTATTATTGAAGCACTTCATCACATAAGCGTTCTTCATTGTTTGGGATTTTGTGCAGCTGATATTGGGAGCAGCACCAACAACACAATATTAAATCAGTTGCTTTTCATTTTAATTGCGGCAGTGGGCTGTCCATTCAGTGCAGGGCATGATCAGGCAGTATAAAAACTACTCAAAGCACATGCTGGTAAATTTCCTGTCTATTGTTGTTTTTGATGGATTTTTTTTTGGCAAGGCCACTGTATAATGTTCATTTAGAAAGGTGTTTGTGTTATAATAAAGTGCCTGTAATTGCAAATACACTAAAACAATTGTCGCTTTTACATGTTAAAAGGCCGAACCTCTCGATGAGAGCTCAGTGAAGAAGATGATCCTGACGTTTGAAAAAAGATCTTATAAAAATCAAGAGCTACGGATTAAGTTCCCTGACAGTCCTGAAAAGTAAGTGAAAGGGGCATCTGATTTGAGTTTTCTCCCTCCTCTCCATTTTTAACAACCTGTAGGAAATTTGTGTTTAATGTGTAATTGTTGGTAGTTTTTCAAAAATGTTCATCCTTTTTTTAGAGAATGTATCAGTAAATAAGTAACCATTTAGAAATTTGATTTACAGCAAAAAAATAAGTCTCACAATCACGATTGTCGCATCTGAATTATTAGCCTGATTTGTCTTCCGTTATCTGTGTGCAGTACCAATTCCCCATTATTTAAATTGTATTAGAACACCTTTTCATGAAAAAACAGTGAGTACTGCAATTGATCTTTGTGAATAAAACAACAGCATTTCTACAAGGCTGTAAAATTTTGATTTGCAGAGGCATTTAGCAATTGTGCAGTCTGAGGTTTTGTGAGTTTATAATTGGTTAAAACCAAAGACCCATGGTAAACAAAATCTTCAAGGAATTCAGGTTTGTCTTTCTTCGTACTTCACTGTACATTTGCTTGTTGGTAGAAAGAGTGGGTGTAAAAGTTTTATTTTTGGAAGTGCTAGAATATTTGCTCAAAAGCTCTCTCAAGCTACTAGTTGATTGCACCTGGTGCAGTCTACCTCTTATTAGGACCTTATAAAAATTGCAATACAATATAACATTGCAGAATAGGTGGATCCTGCAATATTAGACTTCTACAACAGTTTGTTGCTCTGTACATTACAATGACAATGTCTTGTTTATTTCACGGCTATCATGTGCTGAGATTTGCAGTGTAGCTTGTTTTTTTCCAGACTTCCCTCTGAATCTGGAGCATTTCAGATCTGTATCTCCCGATTTCTGGTATATTCTGGGCTAAATGTGTGTCAGATTTCAGTTACAGTACCTTTTTTGTATGGTAGATGAAACTGCATCCCTCTTCCTCTTTTCTTACAATGTTGTGATTTGACCCTAATAATAAGTAGGATTTTTCAATTAAACAGTATTTAATCAGTAATACTGGATTATTAAGTGTTCAGATTTATTCCAGACCATCTGCTAAGGTATGCAAAGTTAAAAAAGTAATGACAGTGAATCCCCAACTAGCTTTTCCAGCAGTTTCATGCCAAGTCTGTAACTGACTGCAGCTAAACGAATTCGTCGACTATGTAATCAAAACCATCTGCACAAGCTCTCAGGCAGTGAAAGAGTGTGGCATGATGCATGTGTTTGTGCTACAGCCAGAGCCACTTGTGATCACTCGATGAGCCATTACCGATACCTCGATGAAGCCCTCATGAGTTGTTTGTATCTAAGAAATAGCACTTCTGGGATAGCATCCCCACTGAACCCAGACTATAATTGCCTCTGTTATTACTGAATCCCACAGCACTCCTTTTTCTGGAGCACACCCTCAGCGCTCAGCATGGCACCGCTATGGTTTAATTCTTTGGTGCGTTCAGTGGACTCCAATAGCTTGGAAAGAGAAATGCAAAAAAGTTTTAACTTTCCTTATCTGTTCTGGAGTTAATTAAGGTTGATTTGCTGAAAATGAGTAAGTGATAATTGCTTCTTGAATGTGATTGATAAGGGAAGTGTGTGAGTCCTTACATGTGTTTCAATATTGTAATGTGGGGACTAGAAGCGCAACTGTTGGGCGAGTGGTTGAGTGGTGTTTAGGCATGGGACCATTTCCCAACGGCCTCTGCCTTTATAGCGTCTTTCTTTATATCCTTCCTTATTTGTAAAGTTAGTAGGATGATTTTCAGGATATATTTTAAAACGTGTACGTTTTGTTCATGGTTTTGAAACCTGTGGTTCTTTCTTGTCTTGCACAGTAAATATTTATTATTCCAATAATTGTTTCTATTATTCCTTTTCAGATTCATGGAGTCTGAGCTTGACCTGAATGACATTATTCAGGAGATGCATGTAATAGCCACCATGCCTGACCTCTATCACTTACTCGTGGAGCTGAATGCTGTGCATTCCTTGCTTGGGCTGCTTAGCCATGAAAACACTGATATCCTTTCTGTCATCTGAAAACTGCTTTTACAGTTTCCACATAAAAAGCTGCAGGGAGGTCAAGTACATGCTATAATTATAAAAGGGTGTTAGCTGCTTTTCACATGGATATGTCATCTTATGCAACTATGGCATCTGTTTATATTTTATGTGAACTTGGGAGCAGCTTGTAATAGATTTTATTGGACATCTCAATGGATTTTTAAACTTTGAGTTTAGAGACAGTCAATAACAAATTAAATATTTGTAATCGATTGTTAATGCATTATCAGTGGGGGCAAGATTATTTAGGAAATGCTGCTATAATGCAATAAAATCATTGAATGGTCTGTACAGTTGAACTATACAGCTTCAAGGCATGAAATAAGAGGTGAGTTAGAAACGTTTTGAAATTCTGGCGCTGTAGTCTTCTTTATTCACCCACTTTCACTTCCAGGTTTTCCTTAGCCTGTTGTAAATGTAGCCATAGCAGTGGTGGATCTGTTACAGGAGCTGACAGACATTGACACGCTTCATGAGAGCGAGGAAGGTGCAGAAGTGCTTATAGATGCCCTGGTGAGTTCTGTTGCCATCTTTTATCTGCGCTGCGCAGATCAGACTATTGCTGATTGATTACTGAGAGTATTTTCAAGTTGGCGATGCTGCATAAACATAAAGCAATGCTGCCGACAAGACACGCATGTCAGTAGATTTCTCCAGTGACTTTAAATACTGCAGGACTGTACATTCAGAAGCTGTTAAATAAAAAAAGAGAAACCAGTTGTATCTGTGCCCTTTTGGAATATTGTATTGTAGCAACTGAGCTCTGTTGTCTTTATAGAGAACACAAGAAGAAATATGGTATGAATATACGTGGAAGTATATCTCATCATGCGTGTACTTGTTTTTAATTTCACAAGAGACAACAGCCCTCTTCTCTACTGTAACACCACAAAGATGAATGCTTAGTGTTCAGAATTCAGAAAATCTGTTTTCCAAATGATTCTCCGCTCTGTGATCTGGAGTCCCCGTGTAGAATTGGACATTTGCATGCTGCTCACGCTGAATGGGAGATCACTGCTGCTTTTAAGCATTTCTGTATCATATGCAGTGACACACATGACACTGCAGACTGATTTTTTATGGTATAAATAAGAAAAGGAAAGGCTTTCTTTATGTTACTAAGAGAATAATCAGTAAGTTAAGATGCCCTTTCTTAAGCAGTGGAATTTTTTTTTAAATCTGCATCAGTGTTATATTTAATTGTCCCACAGTGGGCAGCCACATGACAGTGGGGTTAGATGGCTCTATCCAGTTCTCTTTTTGATATTTGGATCCATCTGCTGTCTTAGTCTTTGCTTTTGGGAGCCTTCCTCTCCCCGTACCTCGGCATATAGGGTCTATTTTCTTTTTCAGACGCTTCAGTGATCTCAGCATTTTAATTTGCTTGAATCGCATGGAGCTGCTGTTCAGATGCTCTCAAGCCATCAGAAGCTGCATTGCCCTTAACATTTTATTTTCAGACGCTTCAGAACTTTTTCCTCCTCTGTGGCTGACTTTCGTCTGCCATCGCGCTCAGCACAAGACGCTACTCATTGGAAGAAAAAAATGACTTCAGTGTAAATGCTTTTTGATTCAGATGACATTTAGAAAAAGCTACAGATGGCAAGGTTTAAACCACCATGATTTGAGGTAGCTTATCAAAATTAACACACCTGAAGGAGGCTCCAGAGCTGCAATACAGCGCACTTTGTTCTTATGCTTTTTAGTCTGGAATTAACCTTTGCTTGTTCCTTATCAAAATGAATGTGTATTTGTAGCTAATGAAGGTCAGATATTTTTGTTAGTTTTTTCTGTTAAGGTTAATTTGGTCTCAAGACCTATGAACATTAAATATGTTGTTTTATTTATGAGGCAAATACATTTTGAAGCATAGAAAAAAATATAAAAATGTTGAATCTGAACACGCACATATGCAGTGCCTTACAAAAGTATTCACCACCCCCTGCAATGTTCTATATTTTGTGTGAGTCTGCAGTCATGACTCTTTCTGTGCTCCAGCTATGTTCCTACTGCTCAGTTGCAAATTGCAAATATTTTCTATCCCATGTGTTGGAATGCGGATTTATTTTTTAAAGTCTTTTTTCTTTGTGTCTGTTCTTGGTTTTGAAATATAAATTATGCTGACCCAAACTGCTGTAGGCAATACTGGTCAGATAGTCTGGAATCTGAAAGATGTTCAAGTATTGTCACTTTGCAAAATTTAGTTCAGAATTCTCTCCAGGTCACGTCAGGTTATTCTTCTGTATTTCCATTCTGTAAAGCCAAGCCAATTACAAATACATCTATTGATCTAAAATAGGTTAAAAAGGATAGTTTTAGACCAAGTTAAAAACAATTAAGATGATGCTATATCTTCCCTACAATACAAATTGAAATTTCTTAGGAAAATAACCATATAAAGTGTTTATTGATTATATAAGAAAGATTCTGGCCAGTCCGAGTTAAGAGCAGCTGTATTAGTAGTTGAAAGATGCTTCCATATTTGTCCTGTAGCACAGATAGCTGTAAATCTGTCAGTACTCTGGACAGTGGCACAACAGGGTCGGGGCTAGACACTGGGCACTGTAATGCTTTATGTTTCTGTGCTTTAGCTGGAGGGACAAGTGGTAGCTCTGCTGGTGCAGAACATGGAGCGCCTGGATGAGCAGGTGAAAGAAGAAGCAGACGGAGTCTACAACACACTTGGTAAGGAAGAAACAGTGGCAGAAGATGGAGCAAATCTGAACTTCTGAAGACAGCGTTAAAGTGTTCTAGTTTTGTTGTTTTCTTTTGCCCAGAAAAAAACTCTTCTGCTATAATCTTATGTTACAGTTCCTGATTTGTTTCAGAGTTTAAATGCTTAAGTATCCTTGGATAAATGAGGCCCGAATGAACGTTAGACTTCTCTGCTTTAAGAAATCATTGATGCACAAAAGCAAGGATTTTATTTGATCCTCATTCACAGGAGATCAGTGAGGAGTGGGAGTGGTAGATACAGTGCACTTGCCTCGGGCTAACATAATCAAGCAATACTGAAGTGTAGGAACAGCATCTCTACAGTTAAGAATAACTTTATTATGAAAATACACAGGCTTATGGTGCTTTTTGATATCATCATATCACCATAAGCTTTTACTGTAATTTAAGGCATCTGTCTTCTTTTTAATTTGTTGTAGAAGTCAATTGCTAAGGGCTGGTACAGCTACTGAAGGCATATTTTGCCATGAATAAATCAAATCGGGCTTCAAACCATGACCACATTCTTAAAGAATTAAAGGTTTAAATCTGGACATAACAGATAAGGATGGATGGCTGTAGCCCAATCTAGAGCATCAATGAAGGCTTTAGTGTGCTCTTGTGCTATTCAAAGTCCCCAAAAACCAACAAAATTTAAATTTGCTCCTACAGTCATCTCCTTTGGGAACACTTGGATTAATTGAGCAGCTTCTGGGGAGCAGTCTGGGAATCATGGTATTGAGAGGGAGTGTCTTTGGGATTTAGTTTTATCTGAAGTTCAAGCGATGTTGTTCTGGCTCTGATTTCCATCGGTCAGAAAAACAAATCTTCCTAAAAGCATTCACAGTTCTCAATTTAAATAATATTTGCAGTGGATTGATGTGTATCTTGAGGGAAAAAGTGACATCCTAGAATGTGTATTCCTTTTAAAAACTGGAAAAATGCTTGAAAAATAAAATAATTCTTTCAAAGTGCTAAGTGATGGGTTTTATACTTTTAATGTTATTTTTGCATTGCAAATCATTCTGTCATGTGTGTAATGATGATGCCGATAGTCATGAACCCTTCCGTACACAAAAAGACCAGTGATGACTGGATGGATATATTCCCTGTGCTGTTTGAACCTGCAGCCCTGAAGGACTGTCTCTGCTCGGCTACAGTCAATGATAAAAGCTCACTCTTCTGTGTGGCAGCTCGCAGGCCTCTCCTCAGGGCTCTTACCTCATGTCCTCTGTCTGATTGAGATATCAAGTGGCAGGGACAGCTTTGTAATGATAATGACGAGAAAGCTGTGACTGAAACCCTGGTATCTGCTTTTCTTTCTCTTGCTTCACCAAAACAGGTACTTTCACATCTCACTCTCTCACTCATTCTACTTTTGTGCTTGTACAGTATGTTTCTAATTTAACTCAATTGGGTTTTTTCCCTTGATTGGAAATGCAGCAAACAATGCCCATCCTTTAGGATTGAATTTAGTATTTAAATGACAGTCCTTCTCCGAACCTTTGAGCTGGAGTCCTGGTGAAGCACAGCCAAAATGAACAATATATTCTGTAAAGATATTGCATGAGTGATGTTTTTTGTCAGAGCTGTCGCATGGCTACAGCTACAGTGGAGGTTGCTGACAGCTTCATGTGTCTGACTCGATTGTATAAGCAGCAGCAGGCTTGCCTGATTTAGCTGTAGCTGTTGGCCCTCCACTGCACTTAAAATATCCTGCTTGCTATGGGAAGCAAGGCTTTAAAAACCAATAAAGACTGTTGTCGACCTGTTTTGTTCTTTATTGAGGTCACTCTCCAGGGTTGATTAAACTTTATTTAATGTTTTTGCAGCTGCATATTGCCTTGACTTGGGTTTCATATTTGCCTCGACCCTGTGTTTGGATTGAGTGGTGCCTCAGGCCCGCTGCGTGACGGATTAGGTTTTAACGTGCGGGCTCCATTGTTTGAGGAATGGCTGTGGGAAAATACCCGTGGCTGGTGGGGAAGTGTTTATTGTGTGCAACAGTGTCATCAGTTCTCCCTCATGCTTTATTGCCAGTACAGTGTGATCCAATTTGTACCTGTTCATGGATATTTAATATTGAAAGCACTGCCAAAACCCACTAATACCTGAAACCTGTATTTCTGAGTGAGCATAATCTTCTGTATTTTATCTCATGCACAACAATCTAAATTGTAACATTTGTTTTGCAATGAAGAGGTCAGAATATCTGATCAGGCATTTTCTGGACCACTGTACTGGGCTGGCTAGGGACTGAAGGGCAGCTTTAGGATAACTGTAGACTGCATTTTGGACGTTAGTTCTTCAGTCATTAAGTTATTTTCACAGCCCAGTATTCTGTAAACAAACCATCACTTGCGCTTTTAGATACATTAAATCTCTCTCATTTGTGATGTCTGTTTTTCAGCAATAACTGAGAACATGGCAGAGTTCAGGCCCGGGCTGTGCACAGAGGCCGCGCAGCAGGGGCTGATGCAGTGGCTGCTGAAGAGAATAAAGGTGCGCTGTCGGTGTTTCACGTGACTCTGACAGATGACCCAGTCCTGACAGAAGTCTGTTTGGTCAGTTGTAATCTGTCATCTTGAGTGTAGGACTTGACATCTCACTTACTTGTTTTTTTTTTAAATGTGGGATTGATCTTTTTTATTTTTACATTTCGTATTGTTCTCCAAATCCATATATTATAGAAAACTCCTGTGATGTCTGAAGTACAGCTTAAAAAACAAACAAACCCTGTGCCTTCAAGGTTGTAGGTCCAGTTGTGACTCGAGGTTTTGTTGAGAATTTATCTGACCAACACTATTGACACACCACACACCACTAGGTTAGCTTATACAGTGAGAGAATAATAATTGAAGACCAATGAGTCTGGCTTCTGTTACATGTAAGATAATGGTAACAATTATTAGTACTAAACCAGAGCATCAGCTATCTGGAAATATTCTTGGGAATAGTCAACATAGATTTTGAAAGTGTAGGTTTTTAAGCAATTGATATACATACAGAATATATAAGAAAAAGAAAATATTTCCTATTATCAGTTATAATAACTGTAATCAGTGCAGAGAAGAGCAACCATATATATATGGGGCTTACAGGAATGTCCTTCACTGACAATCTGAAGTATCTGATTCTGGCATTAAAAATCCTCAAAAGCATTGACCATTCAACCTAATGGGGTTCTTTAGAGTAAACAATGAAACCCAAACCAGGGAACACAAGTGACTCTTGTTTTACACAAAGGGTTTGGAAGTATGGGAGAAGCTACCTAGGCATGTTGTTTTAGCTCAATGGCTTCTGAATGGCTTTTCTTGTTTCCTACAGTACAATTGGTAAAATACCATACCCATACCCTGGAGATTGATCTTTAGTCATTCCGGTACCCGGAAACACTTCCGCCCCTATAAGGCTAATACTGTTTTAAATAAAGGACTTTCTTCTGCTGCCTGAGGCATGTTGCCTGTTTCATCCTTAGTGAATGCCTCAGTGAAATTCTTTTTTAGAACGTCTGCCATTTCCCTTTCATCATCTAGAAATTTACCTTTGTTTTCTTGGATACATTTTGCTTCATTCTTATTGATTCTTTTACTGTTGTAGTACTAAAAGAACTTATTTGTTCTTTATTGTTCTAAAACAATATTCCTTTGTCTCTCTTGGTCTAATATCCTTTTAAACCTGCGGTTGCAGTTCATCATCAATTATTTTCTTTAACTTGGTCCTGTTATTTTTTGTTTAATCAACAGGGGTCATTTGCTAGAACTAGTCATGCAGTTCTCATGAAATTGTACCTTTAACTCTTTTCAAGTTTTGCCTTCCATGAAAATTGTGATTATTTCTTTTGTATAGGCAAAGATGCCATTTGATGCCAACAAGTTGTACTGCAGTGAAATTCTGGCCATCTTACTCCAGAACAATGACAGTAAGTTGATGGGAGACATTTTTCTAGATCTTAAATGCTACATAAATTAAAGTTGTTTAACTGAAAACAAAACCGTAGAGGAACTTACTCAGTTTTCTAAATGAGTAGGAATGTACTTTACTCTTTGTGTTAAGAATAAAGTGCTTAACTAAACAAGTGTTAGACAACATGCCTGTTTTTTCTTTACCTCAGGCCTCATGTGGTAGTTTTATTATAACATTCTTATTATAAAGATGTTGACTTGAAATTCTCAACATATACCTGTTTTAAAGATATTAAATGCAGACCAGGGTTTTAATCAGGAACAACAACCTTACTGGATACTGCTGGAGCCCTGGTCTTTGTGTTTAATGTTCTCATCAAACAGTTGCTGCTGCGGTTGGTTAAATAATGTCCCTGGGCTGCTATTCATTTCAATAACTACCTTTCTTTACACATGTCCTTCAAATATAAATATTGTCAGAGTGACTATCCAAGTACCTTTTTCCAATTTAAAATGTTCTTGCCAAGGAGAGGTTTACAGATGGAGAGCCGTAGGTAATACACACATTCTCAGATGGAGGAAATTATCTCAGTCTGAGATGTGTTTTGGAGGTACGGGCACTGTGCTTTGTTTTTTCCTGAAGCTTCAATAGTGCAGTGTTGATGTTCTGTCTGCTTTCCATTCGATTTCTTCTCCAAACCGGGGACACTGATCAGCCAGAGGGGCTGCCAGTACTGTGTAGGGAATGCAAAACATCACAGTATACTTCAGTGAAGGTTTAAAATTAATTTTAATTTGTTACAAAAAATGCCATTTTCCAGAAAACACACAGAAACACACACACAAAGTGTAATACTCTGCATTGAACCATTCTCAGAGGGTTTTTATAATCTACGTACAGCCCCGGTTACTCATGTTATCATGAATGGTTTTTTAGGAGTGATAATCCATATGCATTAGAACCTACACAAACATTTTCGCAGAATGGTATTTTTAACAACAGCTATCCCCACTGTTTAATTATTCTGAAATGTCACACAACAGCTGTTTATCTCCCTGCAAAGAGCTAATATAGAAATGGTTGTGGATGCCATGAGGGTTCAGTGTTTGAGTTGAAGTTTGTGTGCTGATTCAACGGACCTGTGCTCACCCCATCTCTCTTTTTCCAGGTACCAGAGAGCTCCTGGGAGAGCTGGATGGGATCGATGTGTTACTGCAGCAGCTCTCTGTAAGAACCTCTTGATTACTCACATTCTGCCATTACTAATCTTTTTCTCTGATAATTGTCTGACCCTTTAGCCTCTTTTCAGCACGCTGCTCTCAAGTGCGCTCAACAAGCTGAATTTGATTCTCTTTAGTCAGAACAGGACCAAAACCAGTGAGGATTTGGTTGTATGATAATTGTCTTTTTGTCCCCAGCTGAGCGCTATTCACAGACTATAACCTATATGGCATTATGGTAAAAAACAAGTCTTTCTCAGAAATGTCTCAATTGATCGATTTGGAATTCAAATAAAATAAAAACAGAGCTTTGATTTTTTAAATTAGGTTTAATCAGGTTATTGTGATTATTTTCAACATCTTCAAAGACCGATATTCTTGTGAGTGAGTAGGGATTCATCTTGCTTATTTGTTTTTTGGTCATCCTTGAATCTCCTCAGGCCTTTCCTGGAAGGATTGCAATGAATTACTATGAAGTGTTAATGCAGATATATTTCATTGGCATTTCTGATCTTCTGTAGAATTAGTTGGCAATATCCCATGTGTTTTTGTGAGTGAATGGTTCACAGTTTGCATATAGCACAAGAGTGCTGAAATTGAACTGGTGTGCTTGATTAAAGTACTGAGAAAGATGGCAAGAATCAAAATGCAATTGAAATTAAAATTGCACCTGTATTCACAACTGTACGGACACTTGCGTTGTTAAGTGCCAGGGGGCAACCTTGTTGTGAAAGGTGCTATATAAAAATAAATGGAATTGAATTAAAATGAGATGCAGAACCTCATCTTTCCAGTTCAATTAAAGTGTATTGCTTCCTTTATGCATGTTACTTCTGCCTTGCTGTCCAGTCTGAAATAAGGATAAGGCTTCAAACACCATTTTAAGCCCCTTTGAGGCCTGCTAGGATCCAACACTGCAAGGAAGTGCTGTGTAATAAAGAGAAAAAAGGAAATTAAGTGCCGCAGCTCCAGCACAGTTGATAAGGGATTGCTGATCATGAATTCTGATCTGACAGGGCCATGGGGTCATGTGTGCTTCTGCAACATCTCTGCAAACGTCTGTCAGTCTAGAAGACTGGATAGGGCTCAAGGGTTCCTGTAGAGAACTCCATTGGTATTTGATCACATTTCTCAGAGTCGCTTTTTTATTAATCCACCTACCAGGTTTTTAGTGATGTTAGCTTTTACCTTTATTATGTTTGTTCATTTTTTCATATTTTGAATTATTGTGCATTATGATATAAAATACGTACACATTTTATCACATCTTTGTACCGCTTTCAGGTCAGCTCTGCCTTGGCCTATTCAATAGAGGAATTATTATATTAATCTCTCCTTAAGGGACTAATGCAATCTGTCTGCATCCCACTATCCTTCACAATACTGATGGACCTTTAATCCACATCTGGTATATATTAGTGCATTTTAATCCCAATGGATTATATTTCAAACCTGTGCTTTAATCTCTGTGATGCTTTTTAAAAGAAGCAGGTGGAATCCAGGTAAACTGATGCTGTGAAAATCTGTAATAAAACCCAGCTGAGAACCTTCTGCTAGTCCTTGAACAAAGTTGCATAATCAGTGTTCCTGTTGCTGGAGCACAGACTTCCCCATCTTGTTGCTCTCCAGTGGAAGCTTTTCTTGTAAGCAGCCATGAAGGATCTTTATCCAGCCATTTGCAGTGGTCCAATGCTGTTTGCCTCTAGTGGGTTTGTTGCTTCTTTGGGTTTGTTGTGGGCATGTGAATAGACAAACACCGGTCCAGATAACTGATCTTTCAAGATTTAATAGGCAATTTCAATCAGTAGCTAAAGATCAAGTTAATGTTGACTAATTAAGGCAATTCAATTGATTCAATTACTTAAATGATCACGGCTTGAAGAAAGAAACCAACTGGGAGTAAACCCGGAAGAGATAAGGAAGATCCCGATATAGTTACAAAAATAGTTATTTTAAATAGTCTTACAATTTCTAGAATGTGTTAAAAATGTAAAGGCACTCAGCAGTAATTTCAATTAAAATATTAAATGCAGATATTTAAGAATATCTGGGATGAGATCCAAATCATTATCTTAATCTTGTGTGTATAAGTGGGACGTTATAACACCCACAGTGAAAATAAGTTTGAATGCTTGAGCATTAGAAGTACTGACAGATCTGTATCTCTTATCTTATTTTTCCTTTGTTTACTCTGTACTATTTAGAATCCATTGTTATGATATTGTTTATGGCATAGTGCAGCTCCTTAATCTCTGATCACATAGAGCAAGTTCTAAGCAGATCTTTAAAAGGTTTAAATATAGTTTAAAGGAATAAACACCTCCCATTAGCACTATAAGCCTGAAGTTTGTATTTCATTATTGTTTGTATTTTCTTTGCTAATTTTAATGCATTTTTCAAAACTGTTATAAATTTAATTGTACATATAGCTGTGGTTTAAATAGTATTGATGTTATTTTTATGTTTGTCTTGTTATAGTGGCATTACATGAATTGTATTAAGGGATAACCCAATTTTGTCAGTTCGAAACAGTCAGAAATGTATATAGTAGCATTAGTTAGGAAAAAGATCTGTTCAGCCAAGAGATACCAATTTTTTGGCAGTAAAAGCAACATTTGTAAAAGCAGAAATTTAAATTAAATTCAAATACATTAAATTAGTGAGTCAGCTTTAAACAAGATAAAGTGGCTTTTTGTTTGAATCTAGTAAGGTCTTCAATAGCTATTTTTTTAGCTAATGCTTATTGCTAAATATGCCAAGGATGTCTTGGAGCATAAGGATCTATCTCAGAGCCTCAGAGTTTCGCTTTTTCTTAAATATTGTATTCTCAGCTATAATGAGCCATCTCAAATTGTTATGATCATGTTATATCTTGCTTGGGGGCTGATTGAAATACTCCTAAGAGCTTGATGCTGAGTAAATGATCAGTAAAAGGGAATTGCTGGTCTTAACTGTGATTGCAAGGGCTACATTGACAATGTTTAGTGCACTGTGAAAACAATCTGTGCTGAGAGTTACTGTGGTTAGGATATCCTGTTTGGATTAAGTTACTGTTTACTTATTTGGGTGTTACTTTTGATCCAACTCGTAGGTTCTGCATTGGCAAAAATGTTGCAAATGTTTGGGTGTTACTTTTGATCCAACTCGTAGGTTCTGCATTGGCAAAAATGTTGCAAATGTTTACTGATTTATAAAAATAGTGGATTATATTTGGAATGCGCTTTGCATTGTTTTAACAAATGATTGAACAATTGGCCTTCCTACTGACTACTCTACTAGTCTTAACATTTTAACTTAACCATATGTTGGTGATCTCATTGTGGACAGCGCTGGTCCCTGGACACTCCAGTAAATCCTGACTGTTGTGTCTGGCAGGTGTTCAAGCGACACAACCCCAGCACTGCGGAGGAGCAGGAGATGATGGAGAATCTGTTCGACTCGCTGTGCTCCTGCCTCATGTTGGCAGCCAATCGGGACCGCTTCCTCAAGGGGGAGGGGCTGCAGCTGATGAACCTCATGCTAAGGTCAGAGTCCGTGTGGAGCGCCGAGTTTCTTTCAGTGGTGTCCGTTCACCGTGCATTGACGAGATGGTAAAATAAGGTGAAATCTCTCCATGATAAAAAAGCATATACCGTATACTTACATTGTAAGAGGTGAACTTTCTGTAGAAGCAATTCTTGATTGATTCTCCTGATTCAAAGGACGGAGCTCTGCTTTCAGACAGGGATTACAGAACTAGCTGCCAGACTGGTTGCCACATATCAGCAATCCACTCCATAATTGTAAGAAGTCCATATTGACGCCACATATTTAATGCATTGTGCATATTTAATTACAGCACACACAGAGTACAATTTTTACAAGATAGTCTGGATGTAGCTTGGTAGGTGGAAATATATATCCTTGTCAGAAACCACAGCATATCAGAATATTTTACTCATTAGCTGCAGCATAATCTCTTTTTTTTCCAAAAAGTATAGAATGGAACATGCAAGGAAACCAAATTGTTGCTGCACATTCCAGTCTTTTTTAATCAATTATTTTTTGTGTGTGTAAAGTCAAAGTCTGTTTATTAAAAGGCCAGAACCCTGTAATACAGTCCTTGTCAGAAGCTGTCATGCAAATTACTGAAGCAGTTTCTCCTTGGTTTCATGTACTGATGTCTTGCAGTGCAATACTAGACATTTTTAATTTTATCAGGTTGATTCACCGTAATTCCCTCAGGAAGTATACTTGCTGTCAGTATGAAAACAAACAGCAATATACCGGGTCTTTTATGACTGTTCTCAGTTGCTTCCAGAAGTAGCAGGGCTTTGAAGTAAGGTACCTCCACACTTTATGCTTTCATCACCCAAACAGTTTGCTTGGACACAGCTGGTGACTCTTGCCATTACACCAGCAGACATGAGGTCTTCCAATATGTTGACAAGGGCAAAATATGACACTCATTCATGAATAAAGTAATCCATAAGGCCTGAAATGCTCTCTAAGAATGACATTAAGTTTTGCATAGATGACAAATCGCTATCGCTCTGCCGGTTCTCAGATTGTTTCTTCTGAGAATTTCTAACACTTATGTGAGTTATTTAGATCTTGGTCAGAGGTGGTCACACTCTGCCTTCCTGAACAAGGCTTGTCTCGGGCAGAGCCTGTTTCTTGTGCTCTCTGAACAAATTTGCAGATTGTTGTTGCCACTCATCCTACTCTGTTAGTTTCTTCTTGCAAAGACAAGAGACTTTTTTATTGTGCCAGGAATAATCAATTAATCATTGTCACTCGAATGAGGCATCTTGTCCTCATTTTTGTATGACTGAAAATCATGGCTTTTTCTTGTGGGCTTTAAAACACACCGCACTGCAATATAAGTGGCAGTGGAAATTACTGTTTCTGATCGTGTGACTTTGGATTTTGTGCCTGCTTTGAGTTTTTCATACATTTGTAAAAGCAATGTTTTCATTTTGCATCAGAATATGTATTTGTAGTGTTGAGAGACAGGCCGTGGTATTCATCATGCATTGACATGATAGTTAAAATAAAGTGAAATCTCTTCATGATAAGAAAGCCTATGTACCTACACTGTAGCAGCCAAGAGAGGTGAACTTTCTGTAGAACCAATTCTTTTCCTGATTCAAAGGACAGAGCTCTGCTTTCAGACAGGGATTACAGAACTGGCAGTTTAATCAAGTAGAGGCTGACAGAAATCAGTTACTTGGCCTTACAACAGGGTAAAAAACAGACTAAAGAAGCCTCCTTGCAGTTGAATCAATCCATAGTGCTTATTATATATTTTGAAATGTTCTTTATTAAATATTTTAGTCCACGCAAGCCTCCGGACCTTAAAATCAATACACAATTATAGTAATGCTAAACATTCTTTAAATCCTCTGTATAAGCAGAGTCCCCCCGCCTAATTGCCAACCAAGGATTCCTCAGTTTGAATCACATTTCATCTCTGCTCTGTACTGTCAGTACCTCGGATACAAATGTATTTTAAAACAATTGTATGAGGAAAAGGAGGAGGACCTAATGTGTCAAGTGAGTTTTTGTTGGATTAAATCATGCCAAGCCAAATGCATAACTTGGGATTTCTTATTCCATGGAGAATGACTGCAGTGGCATTATCGTAGCTAGATCCTGTTCTGTTTATGTCCTACAGTTTGTTTTTAGCCCTCATCTCTTCGGTGTGGGGATTTTGGCATTCATTCATAGCAAATTAAAGAAGGCAGAAAAACTAGATTGTTACAGCAGTTGTTTGCCAGCACCTGGATGATGTAGTGGGTGGGGTAAAAACGTTTATACAGAAATAACAAATGTACAACTGAATGCGGTTGTGAAATTCTGAGAAATCTCCATACTTTCAGGGTTTCCTTAGCATGCACAATAACACTTGACAGTGCAAGCTAGTAACCTTTGCTCTTTGTTGCTGGGCTACTCAATTTGTGGCCCTTCCAGTGTACTACAGTCCTTAATTTTGACATGAGCAGCTCCTTAATTCATATGTTGATCCTGCAACATTGAGAATACATTCATGGAGTGAATAAGTATGGTGCAACAATGAATGTAATTTGGTTTTGCAAAACCTGAAATTTATAATCCATACACTCAAAAATGACAATAAACTGATCTTGAAAATCTCTGAAGTGCACAAAATACAGAAGCAGACACTATTAATTAGGAGTGTCCTATAAAAAAAAGTAGGAAAAAGAAAGCTAGCTAGTATGCTGTTATTTAGGATTTGACAGTTATTGATCTGCGCTAATATTCCACTAGGAAAACTCATCCATCCCAAGATATGTGCATTTTTCAACAGACGTAATAAGTGTTAGGCAATTCCTACATCCAGCTAGCTGAGAAAAGATGTACTGCATTCAGCTGATTTGCACAAAAACAAAATCAAAACATCTGACAGTGTATCTGCGATTACTGTCTTTGCACATGTAAAAGATCATCATGTTTGGCACATGGTTTTTGACAGACAGTGAAGATCTGGTGAACTGACAGGTCTAGTAGGTACAGTTTAGCTGCACTTCTCGATTTATTTCTCCTGCCTACATGTTGTCTGGCTTGTGATGTGGGAAATGTCTGAGGCAGTGGGTTGAATCCTGGTTTGCACTGGGATAAGTATTGGGTTTGGCTTAACAGGTAGCAATGCCAGACTGAATGGGCATGAGAAGGAAACCAATTTTCAATTGTGAAAACCTTGAAAAAAAGAGCAGGTAGCAACCAAGACCTTTAAAATGTGCTTTTCATGTTCTAAAGCTTTGTTGCAGTTTTTAAACTATTGTGGTATTTGTTTTGTCTGTTCCAATCGGAAGATACGTTTTATTTTTAATACAAGATTTACAAATCTGAAAGTGTTGTATTTTTGTTGTTTTGTACAGCCATATGTACTACTGTGTAGAACCATAACAAGAGAATTGCTACTTAATTTCACACATGCATTTTTATAAATTCATTTAAATTCAGAGGAGCATAGTGCTACTATAATTTATGAATATTTTAAAACGTTGAGAAACTAAATCATCAAACTTAAACTAAAACCAAATTATTGGCAGAAATGCATTGTATGTATTATGATTACCTAATTAAACTAATATATAAATTAGTAGTAGATTTGAAACATTCTCTGCAACAAAATCTGTACCAATAAATGGCCTTAATGGTCTTTTGGTATGTAAAATAGCTAATGCAATTATTTTATTTGAACAACTGCATAAGCTGTAGTATATTTTTGTGTGTACGTGTAACATTATAATTAGTACTATGAGGACATTCCATTTGGAAAAAAGAATATTATATTAAAAGAGTCTCTTTTACAATTAAAGTTTCATTCTAGCATTTATTTCTTACAGTCATCACTTGCTCCTCTCAACCACAAGGCTGGATGTCATCTTTTTAGATGCTGTTGCTGTGACAGAATTTCCATCTTTTTAAGTGTTGGCTCTGTGACAGTATTTCAGTTTGATTTTAAAAGCTGCTTAGCCATGCACGGATTTTGTATCTCCTTCTGTAGGTGGCTAGTTTTACTTTCATTTTCTCTTTTCGAAGAGATAGCTGTAACCTGCAGGGCCTTCTCTTTTCTTTGGTCTCTTTTATAATGGTCTTCTGTACAGCTCAAACTGTCACACCTTTAAGGGTAAGACTAAATTATACATTTAAGGCAAAAAGGTCTTTAAGCAAGTTATAAAAATATATACAGTCTATATAGATAGTCATAGTTTCTAATGATTTTGGGCAGTTAGTAGCACAAATTTAGGAAAGGCTCTATCATTGGTTGTGTAAAATACCTGAATAGTTAAAGATTAAAAGATGGACTATACCTGTGCATTCAGTTGTTAAGGTTTCTAGAGAAAGAACAGCCAGAGCCTAACGTGGGCAGGCGAACCTTAAACTCCACTCTAAATGTGATAGGTTGCCAGTGTTATTTAAAATACAGTCTGCATAGGATAGGAGTTACATAAGGCTGTAGAGCAGTTTTAGTTAGCACACAAGTAGCAGATTTTAATTTATACTAAAACCTGTTTGGTGTTGCAGTAATTAAGGTAATTACAATGTAATCTTAGTCACACTTTGAGATAATTTCCATGCAGTTGAGATGCATAGTTTATAGTTTGTCTTGTATATGCATGACACCTCCTGTGTCTCTGTAGTGCTCCCTTGTAGTTGTCCTTCTTTATTTTTATGTGGGCGATGACCTTTAACCTGTTTTTTTTTTTCATTCACTTTATTACAAGTCCCTTGAGCAGAAGGTTTGCATGTGTTATTTTGTCCTCCTAGACATTGAAGAGATTGCTGGAATTTTAAGATTCAGGGAATCTAAACTTGCATGGGTGATCTGTTTAAAATAAATTGTTATTACAGCATTTAAACATTTGTAACTTTAAAGTCCAGTTTTTCTATTTGGAAAGTACTTTTACTCCTGTAATTAAAATATTCTTTTATCCTGGATGTTGCCCTGTAATTTTGTGATCAGGTAAGATAGGTGATTGTATGAAATCTGACTCTTCACAACTGAATGCTTTTCCTCCCTTAACACCAGCAGGTGTAACCTTTGAAGTTACATTACTCTAATTATCTTGTATGTGACCTGACAGCTGTGCAGGGCAATATCTAATAATGCCAGGTGTTCATTTTGCATTTTTCTAATTATCAAAAGAAAGCCTTAGATTACAGTTTTTCGTGAAAGTGGATTCAACAAGAATTTAATATTTATTTTCCAAATACATTTCTGTAATAATTGAATAGTCGTTTTTCTGTGAATTAGTAGCACACTTTTCCTTTTTTCATCTGCCATAGTTTTTGTAAGCACTTGGAAAATGTTCCGATTCTTTGTCAGTGCTAAGGGATCTTGTCATTAAAGAATCGTTTACATGGTTTGATAATTTTGCAGCCCCTCTTTCTGTGTCCGGTGAAGTAGCTGCCCAGCCGACCGCACTTCATTGCATTCCTGGTCCGTTTCCCCCACACAGGGAGAAGAAGATGTCTCGGATGAGTGCTCTGAAGGTACTCAACCACGCCGTCATTGGCCCAGAGGGCTCTGACAACTGCCACAAGTTTGTGGACATCCTGGGGCTCAGGACCATCTTTCCCTTGTTCATGAAAACCCCAAAGAGAATGAAGAAGGCTGGTCTGTCGGACAAGGAGCACGAAGGTGAGCGAGGCTATGGGAACTTCACAGCTGTGGCTTTGATTCTTCAATGTACATTTTTCACAGGGTGGAGCCTGCATAATGGTAGTAGCTGACTGTAACTGGGATTGCGTAGGCGTGCAGATGGCAATGTGCTGCATTAGTTTGCTAGAAATCTCTTGGCTTTTGGTGAAACAACAACACCTAGCTCCAAGTGTGCAGTAAGCTCAGTGGGAGGCGGACTGCCCCTCCATTAAGCACTAACTCTCCTGTAATGCAGCATGTCAAAGTAGCAAAGCTTTACAGGTAAGAGGGCCAGTAAGGTCTTCATTTTTGGTGTGCAGTACAAGGGTTGTAAACATCAGTTCAGTCTTAAAGTACTGATGATTCCAGTTCATAAGAAATATATTCTTTCAGAATTGGAAGGCAGGCAGGTTTGTAATGTGCCTGTGGTTCTGGAAGCACTAGTGTCTCTTTACGTTCTCTGTTAGCTTTAAAGAAGACGGGGTTATCATCTAAATCTGACACATATTAAATTAAATATGTAGTGTAATTGCAAAGGGGGTTTTAGTATTCTGCACAACGTGTGGTTTCACAAATCTGAATTCTTATGTGTCTAAATGCGTTAAAATGCGTCTCCACAGGGAAATCCGATTTCATAAAGGAAATATGATCGGGTTATATGCTGCTTTGTCAGACCGTCACAGTTATTCTTCTGTATTATCCTTGCTCTTGAAAAGCTGCAGAGACTATTTTGCAATGAACGTCTTTTCCAATAATAAGTTCAAAAGACTGTTAAGTGAGACTGCCTGTCTCAGCAGACTAAAGTCAGGAAGAAATATCCCTCCCCTCCCTCCTGTCCACCACCTTAATGGTTTTTGTATGTTCTTGCCCACCCAAGGTGAACAGATTGGCTCCTGTTGTCTCTCTTCTCATCTCTTCAACAAAATTAATTAACCTCAGACCTGCAGAAACAGCAGAACTGGACGCGACGCTGGCGGCCTCAAAGCACCATGCCGTGGTTTTCCATTGATGCACTGAGGGGCGTGGCTGCCGGCGGGCAGGAGTTGCCACTGGCGATGGGCACAGTTGGGGTTTGACCTGAATGTGAAAATTGTGGGAATCTACTGAAGGTCAAAAAAGGATACAGCAAGCCATTTACTACCTTCAAATTAAAATCATGCCAAAGCCTGATGGGGAACCTTATATTGTTCAAGGGGTGATTTCTTGAACAAAAATGAATGGCCGGCTTAATTTCTGGCACAGATTTCCTGAAGATGCAGCTTAAAAATATTACTGTATATTGTTTTGTCTGTGCTCTATTAATTGAAAAGGGAGAAAAAGTGGTACTTATGAAAACACATTGTACTCATACGGATTAATTAATTATCAGCAGCTGCAAATGAGTATTAAAATAATTAGGAAACAAACCACTCTCATAGATTATAAACAATGAGTTTGATTTCCACCAAATCCCTTCTGAAATTTAGAGAATGGAATGACTGGGAATAGTCAAACTACATTTGCATACAAAATGAACCAATTAAGCCAGGTTTTATTAAAAATGCAGCATGCATGTAAACGTATCCCCTGCATTAGCTGGGGAAGTGGAGTCATAAAACCAAAAGTGTGAAGTTATTAAAAAACATTATATGTCTTATTAATAACATCATGTGTGCAGTATCTGAGATTGCTGCATGCCTTTCTCAAATATGTTAAATGCTTACAGTCTGGATAAAAAAATAGAATCAGAAATAAGATAGAGTGCTAGCTTTCATTACATGACCAGAAGGTCATAGATTTTTCAGGTCCTTCTAAATTCAATAGGAGGTAAATTGAGTTTAATGCCACACATGCTATATATACAGATGATGGGGAATGAAAGCCTTGACTTGCCGATGCGTAACAGTAGTACAAGAAGGTTTCATTATAACATAGAAAGCCTCCTTGCTTTTTTCTGAAGGCTTCCAAGAGGCAGAGGGTTAATTGGGTTCTGGGAGAAATTCTCCTCTGAATACAAGATGAAGCCTGGCACTGTGGCTGTGGTTCAGTCCCTCTGAACACTGTGACGTGGATCATCAAATTGGGCTGCTGTGCAAGTCTCTTTTCCAGGATGGGATTTGGCAGTTTTGTCCACTGCCATTTGCACGTCCTCCTGTGTGCTGCCTTTGGGTGGGTTTTGACTGCTTCCCTTAGGGCTGGAAGGGCACTTGTTCAATTTCTTCTCTGGAGGAGACCTGTCAGGACCCTGCCACCCTGCACTTCACAACACTATAAAAGATAATTGCTTTGCTGCTTTAGAGGCAGTCCTTGAGATAATTTGCATGAGGACATTAAAGATGCTGAGGTCTAAAGGAAGTGCCTCTGATGAGTGCTGTGTGTGTAGTGTTACTTTCTAATAGCCCCCTTGGGGTGGACAGAGGATTCTGGTTTTTAATTATCTGAACAAAAGACTTACCTCATCATTAACTGTCCAGTGCTTTCTCTTTTATTCTTGCGATATCTGAAGAAAAGCAGAGATCTCTGCACTCTGTTACGAGGCGGAACAATTTGCATTTGTATGCATTTCAACAGTTTAGAGTGGTGTTGAATTGTGAAAACTGTTAGTAATGCAGCTGTGGAGGACTGGTTAAGGTTCTGAGCTCATATCTGGAAGGTTTCAGGTTCTAATCCCAGATTAGATAAGACAGCAGATAAGACACTGCTGCCGTACCTTTGAGTAAGATACTTTGCCAGTGCTAAAAGATCTTGCCATTAACAAGAGTAATTCACCCACGGTAACATACCCAGTTGTAAAAATGGGTGCATATGTAAGTGTTGCTTTTGATAAAAGTGTCAGACATTTATTTATTGTTAAACTGAGTTTTGATTGATTTACAAAGTTTTGCTTTAATTGAAAGTATTTATGGACCTGTGCAGTATCTTCTTAAGCAGCTTTGATAACCGTTTTTTTGTATTTTTCCAGTGAGTTACAAACTTTTTAATGTGTCCAGTCTCGATTTTTTCCCCCGTATGAGCATTAATTATGATTTTCAAAATGCAACACAAAATATTTTTTAAAAAGCAGTTAAAAGCTGCTGTAAGTCACTATAATTATAAATAAAGTGGGGACAGGGTGGTCAGCATTGCTGCCCTGAAGTGCTGGGACTCTGGGTTCATTTCCAGATCTGGGGTGCTATCTGCGTGTTTGTTTGTGTTGAGTTTGTCTGTTAACCCATGTTCACTTGGGTTTCTTTTGGGTGCAGGCAGGTAAATTGGCTTCTGGGAAAGTTATAATTGTAAATCTAAAGATGCCCGTTTCTTCTTGGCCCTGTGATGGGCTGGCGTCCCGTCCAATGTTAATTCTTGCCTTGCATCCTTGTGCCTCTTTTTCCGGGATAGGATCTGCTTGCCCTTTGACCCTGTATTGGAAGAAGGGTATAAAAAATCGATCAATGGATGTACAGAAGAGGAGTAACTCACAGGCAGTGTTTGCTGTTAATATAAGCCAGTCTGTTCACCTTGGGTGGCCTTTGACAATAATGGCCTCCTAATAATCCCCATTTATGAACTGGCTTTATCACTCTGTTTTCTTCCCCACTGATAGCTAGTGTGTGGGGAGTGTACTGGTGCACTATGGCTGCCATCACATCATCCAGGTGGGGCTGCACACTGGTGGTGGTGGAGTGGAGTCCCCATTACTTTTTTGAGTGGAATGTCCTGAAAAGTGTAAGAAATTATTATTTTAAGGAGGCTTAAACTTGGAGTGGAGACCTGTTTGAAGGCCTGTCCGTCAGTACTAATTACAAAAGAATTTGTCCTTAGTTTCCTGCTGGATTGTAGAGAGATACACACGTAAACACACTACACATGCATCCCTGTCACTTGCAATTCAGGAGAAAAGTAAAAAACTCTTTGAAACTCTTTTTCAAGCCTCTCTGTATTGATCAGATGGCATGGTGGAGCTCTGTCTTAATTATAAGGAACATAAAATATCTATAAGACACATCGGTGGTAGATGGCTTCCTTTGAAGTGCTGGCAGTGGTTGGTGACATTTTCATCAGGGTGCAGAACCACAGACAGCACAGGGCAGAGTTTTTCCTTCAGAGTTAAATGTTTCCAAATCATGTGCATTATTTAAGCCACAGCAAACAGACTTGCACAGTGTAGTGATTTTTTTCTTTCTTTTTTCGCTCAGGAGTTTTTATTTTTCCCAGTGAAAGACTTATTTTTAGAAAGCTCGTGGTTTTGGGTGTCAGTTTGCTGCTCATCTCCCACAGGACTGGAAAATAACAGCAACGGGAATATAATGGAGTCATTTACACTCATTAAGCACATTGTTCTATATCTGTCCTCATTCATCTCTTGTGAAAACCTGCCATAGAATTTTTTTTGTGTAAACTCGGGGAAAACAGCGAAGCAGTGCATTTGGAACAAATTAATTCTGATTAATCTACATAAATCTATTTAGCTAATTAGTGAAAGTGAGGAATGCAGGCTATTTATGGCACCAATTTTGAACCAGATGTGAGAAATTGATAAGCCATTTAACCAGTGTGTAAAAGTATTGGTTTGTTAAAAGTTTATCTAGTCAACATAAATGAAAAGTAATCATAATGTCCATTCCATGGAAAACGTCTTTCCAGCCACCAGTTTTTATTTTATTAAATCACTGGTTTAATGTTTGATTCTTCTGTATTTTTTTAAAATTTCACTTAGTTTTACTTCAACTTATTTTTTTTCTTGTTGGAAGGTTGATAAATGAAATGCATTTTTCAAATCTCTTTACTTTTAATGAAATTTTCTATTTTATGCATGTCATTTCTGTTTTCAGTCAACCAGATACCTTGTTGTAGCACTTTGGAACAGAACAAATTGTTTAGTTGCCAATTTTTCAAATGTATTCATAACATTTATAAACATGTCTTTATATATGAGGCTCTTCAAGATCCACTACTGTGCAGGGGTTTCAGGTGTGATCATTTTACTGCTCCTGAATTCAATATCATTGTGGCCCTATAACGTAAAATAGAAAGAAAGTGTT